CCTACCAAAAGTCATGGGACACGGGTAGTTATAAATATAACATGTATTTGTTGAAATTGTACTTTCGCTCTTTACATACACTATCCTACCAAAAGTCATGGGACACGGGTAGTTATAAATATAAAAAGTATTTGTTAAAATTGTACTTTCGCTCTTTACATACACTATCCTACCAAAAGTCATGGGACACGGGTAGTTATAAATATAACATGTATTTGTTGAAATTGTACTTTCGCTCTTTACATACACTATCCTACCAAAAGTCATGGGACACGGGTAGTTATGAATATAACATGTATTTGTTGAAATTGTACTTTCGCTCTTTATATACACTATCCTACCAAAAGTCATGGGACACGGGTAGTTATGAATAAAACATGTATTTGTTGAAATTGTACTTTCGCTCTTTATATACACTATCCTACCAAAAGTCATGGGACACGGGTAGTTATGAATAAAACATGTCTTTATAGTGGCCCCCCTTTTGGCTTAATGATGGCTTCAATTTGTCGTGGAAAACTGTCTACTAATTTCTGGTAGAAAGCTGGTGGTATTGTGCTCCACTCATCCTTTAAAGCATTAGTAAGGTCCACTACTGAAGAGGGCCGTCTTGGTCTTGCCCTAATTCTGCGTTCCAGTTCATCCCAAAGATGTTCTAACGGGTTGAGGTCGGGACTCTATGCTGGCCACTGCAATGTTCCAATGTTATTCTCTTCAAACGACACGTTCACAATCCTTGCTTTGTGACATGGAGCGTTATCATGTTGGATAAGCGTTCTCCAGGCATCCTCCATACCCAAACACGTCCATCAGACTGGAAGAGCGTGTAGTGCGACTCGTCGCTCCAGATTCGATGTGCCTTGCCCTATACTTATTGACGGTGTTCATTTCTTTTCGTTATCAACGGCTTGTGGGCTGCAACTTTTAAGTGAAAATTCATGGCATACAACTCTCGATGTGTCATGGAAACACTTATAGGATTGCATGTAAATGCTCGCATCTCCAAACACAGATTCTCTAGGGTCTGATGGCGAGATGAGGTAACCAGCCTTCTCAATGAATGTATTGATAATAATGCTCTCTACTGATAAGTACAAGCAGTATATTTAACGTTACTGACTAAAACGTTTATCTAATTTGTTTGTTTGTAGTCAAGTACAAAGCTACACAATGGACTATCTGTGCTCTGCCCACCACGAGTATCGAAACCCGGTTTCTAAGCGTGTAAGTCCGCAGACATACTGCTGTGCCACTAGGGGACAGTTTAGTAAATGTTAGTGTATAACTTTTAGAAAAATATTAAGAACTACATTCCAAGAAAATCGGTTAAAACTAAGATTAAAATTTTATATCCCTTATATAAATATTTTAAAATATTAATAATGGTAATTCTGACGAAAGATAAACTAGAAGCAACGTCTACTCTAGGACTTGTCACGAAGTCTAACCCATTAGCGGTAATCCCGAACAAAGGAAAACTAAAGAATAAGATCAGACCTCTCAATTATAGGAGGGGTGGGGCAAGGAAGGCCATTTGGCCCGGGCATCAAGCTCAAAGGGAGCCTTAAATTTAGACACTTGTTTTTTTTTCTGCATTTGTTAAGTTTCGAGACTTCTTTTTTTTATGAGCCTCTCAATCAGACCAAAACGTGTTATGCACTCTCAGCTTAGAGCTGCAAATTATATACACAAATTAAATATTCAAATTATGTTTCACTTTTCTTTGGGGCTATGATTCTTATTTTGTTTTCATGAGTCATTATTTTTTTATTATTATAGCCAGGGGCCTCAAAAGACAGAGGTGGCCCGGGCCTTTCTGAATCTCTGAGAGGGCTTGCGTAAAAGTTAGGTACTTTTAAAATACCTGTATTAATATACGTCACCTGTGGTGAATAAAAGACAACTTAAATATAATACGCTTGTTTGTTTTAATGCAAAGCTACATTGGGCTTTCTGCTATTTCCTCTTTGGGGAATCGAATTCCAGATGGTAGCATTGTAAGTCCGTAAGCTAACTGTTACTGGCTAAAAAGTTTACTAACTGTGTGTTTGTTTGTTTGTAGTCGAGCACAAAGCTACACAATGGGCTATCTGGCCCACCACAATACGCACAAGATAATACTTGCTCCAGGTAAAGTCGCGTACGTAATATAGATTTACTACAATATATATTAACATTACACGAGCTTTTATACGAACGACAACAGCCAAGTTACCTGAAGGTGCGACTTCGTAGAAGAAAAAAAAAAAGATTAGAAATTTTGTATTTAGAAATACAAAGATAATAAGAAATTAATATCTCAGACGGAACGATGAGTTTTGGAATTTGGCATTCATTGAATATACGAGTAATAATCCAAAATATAACTGCCACTCTGGATTAAAGGAAAAGTGGCAATTAAAGAGAAAAGAAGTGATAACTAGAACTGTGAAATTCAGAGAAGAAAAAGAAACCTAGAATTCAGTATAGCCAATCTGAGAAGAAATCAGGAGTAATCTAGATGTATCACTTTCAGAGCAGAAAAAGAGTAATAATTATATATATACTAGCTGAAGTACCCGTCCCCTGGAAGGAAGTTATGTAAATTCATGATTAATGAAAGGTTATCTTAGAACATGAAAAGTTTCTTCCCTTATATGTAATTGTAAAAACAAAATGTGAAACCGCAAGTTTGCATGTATCTCCACATGGACCTAACAAACCTTCATGCCAGAGGGCGAAATAGTGGTAAAAACGCCCTTAAAAACCGCAAAATGCAAGACTGAAAATTTTGTATGTATCTCTCCGTGGACTCAGTGAACCTTCAAACCAAATCTGGCTTAGATCCATCAAAAGAGGGCGAAGTAATGGTAAAAACGCCCTTAAAAACCGCAAAATGCAAGACTGATAATTTGTATGCATTTCGCCATGGATCCAATGAACCTCCAAACCCATTTTGGTGAAGATCCATCCACACCCTGCGAAGTAGTTACATGGACATACAACAGACAGTACTATTATATTTACATACACATATATTACGTTGCTTTAGACACAAGTGTTTCTATAACAGTAAATCTCTCCGTCGCCAAAAGATGGCATTCTCCATGATGTCATTGGTGACATGTACACAAAGAAATCTAACCAATTTTTATAATTTTATAAAGTTTTCAGTGCTGCTAATGTTTCCATTCTTCACTCAGAACTGAAAACGTTAAAAAACTAATGGTAATAAAAATGTGTTTAATCAAAGAAAACGACTGTCGCTAATAAATGTGCATTCTTATTAGTCGTGTTTCATTTTTTCTCGTTTCTGTAATTGTTCTGACATTTCTTTGAGAAAAAAACTGAATGCTGATAATACAAGCAAAATACTTCAAAAGTAACTCATTTTTTGTTGTTTATCTGCGAATCTGACGTTTCTATAATGCACAAAAAAAATCAAACAAGGATGAGTTTCTAGTTCTGATTTCTATATATATTTATTTAGTTTTGTTGACGACGAAAACCATTTTTTTATGATTTCCTTTATCAAATACTGTCTAAATTACAAAACTTGCACTTATAGATAACGTTGGAGTTCAATTACTGAATATTCACTTTTTTTTTGTATAGCCAGTTATTCTAGGCTTACTTTCTAAATTTAACGTTGCAAATAGACCGAGTTTCCAATAAAAAACGTTTTACCTGATAATGATCCTCCACTGTTCGAACTGAATCTCTGTAAAATAATATTTGTTGAAAATAATCAGTAAAATTCGAACAATATTTTTAAATAAATTGTATTACAAGAAAAACGAAATAGAAAAAGCTATTAACGCTTCAAAATCGAACGATATACAGTAACAAATATAGAAGTTTACACAGCTATTGAAAACATTGCAGTACGAATGTTGTTTGATCAATAATACCACGAATTGCATTGTTTAAAGCCAAATAAAACACAACTCGGAGAAAAAATATTTAATTCAGAATGAATTAATATTAGTTGAAACTAAAAATATTAGTAACTAATTGACGCCAATTAAAATTCCGTGACTCAGTATTCCTGAAACGGTTGCTAATCATGACCTCCTTGATTGTCGTCATACTCACCTCTTCTCATAAACACACACACTTCATTAAACACCGGGTAATAAGATGTGAAAATTTTACTATAACAATTAACGTGATTTAACTGTCAATGGGATTTAAATGGGTCTCTATTTATTGAAAGATACATTAATATATCACATTGGCGTTTCTAGGAATTTTTTTATTGCGGGTCAGAGAAAATTAACAGTTTGATATCAGTGGGAGTCATAATTTTGACAATGTAAAATATTTAAAAGCTGCATCTCTACAGGGGGGGGGGCAATTCTAGTTTAGTAATAATCATCATAGCGATAATCAAAACAATAATTATAATTAATAATATAATTAATTGAACTGAAGCTGCCGATCTGTTATTTTATAATAACAGGTATGTTTTCTCTCCTTTTTTTATTCGTCGATATTAAACAATTTTCACTTTTATTATATGCTTTCACTCAAATATTTTTTAGAAAATCTGTTTCATGTGATTTTGCGATGGTTTTATTGTCTTGAAATGTTTACATGTTCTATAATAATCCTGTACGCTGAATCCGAAAATGATATCCATTTTTCTCCATCTCGTGCAGTTTCTTCGCAAAATGTTGTATGTCCTTTTACATAAGGGATTCATTTTCATTGAAATTGGGTCACATTTTGTTATGCTTAAAATGTTGTAAACTACTGGCTATAGATTTCTCTAAACCAATCGCGACGTCAGAGTCTTATTGATCGTTCTAGAGCCCACGAGAAACACACCGCTAGTATACAAACGGTTAACAAGCCGCATGACATGTCATTTCTGGATAGTATTTGTTTGTGCGTGCACTTTGACATTATTTTTTTTTTTCTTTTCAATATTATTTACTCGTCGCTATGGCAACAAGAGGTTGTATGAATGACCCAAACATATTCTGTTATATTTGTGGCAAATTTGTTGTAAACTTAATTTAAGTAAGAGTTTTTGTTCTTCTCGATTTGTAAAAAATCCTTACATGATAAAAAAATGAATGTTATTTTCGAAATCTCCGTAGCTAAATTATGGAGAATCCGTTATTAAAACCAAAACAACTTTAATGAAATTTAAATTCGCAGGCTTATGTAATTTAGCAAGAGAGCTTTGCATTTGACATGTACATGTAAGCCCTAACAAACAAAAATTTGTGCCGGGAATATAAAACCGGGAAGTATTCAGGAGAAACCAATTTTAAAAATAAATTACAGTGCAGATACAAGTATGAAACATCGCGTTTCACAAGAAATTGTGAGTCCACTCCCTACTGTTCTCGCCTTATACGTTGGTTCCGTTGTCATGCCTTTGGTTTCGTCAAGTGTCCCAGGGGCAGCATCGTCTCAGTAGCTGCGACACAATGAAGGATCGCTATCATCTCTTATGCGTAAGTTGCGTCTGCAATGCACTCAAATACAACTGAGTAAGATTTGGCATTTCTAGTACCATCCAACACACAAGTCTCGATCTTACTAAAAGACAAGTTAATCAGTGCACTCGAATACAACTAAGATTTGACATTTCTAGTACCATCCAACACACAAGTCTCGATCTTATTGAAAGAAAAGTTAATCAGTGCACTCGAATACAACTAAGATTTGGCATTTCTAGTACCATCCAACACAAGTCTCGATCTTACTAAAAGAAAAGTTAATCAGTACACTCGAATACAACTGAGTAAGATTTGGAATTTCTAGTATCATCCAACATACAAGTCTCGATCTTACTGAAAGACAAGTTAATCAGCTCACTCTGGATGTTTTCTCCACAAATGAATGTCTTGCGTGGTTATTTTTTTAATGTGTTCTTCCGTGACAGGATTAAGTATGGCCAAATATTTCAGGATGTTTACGTTTTCGAGTGTAAAAAGCAATACTTTAAATTCTATGAACTCTTTATTTCGGCAATAACAAGTATTTCGAGTAAAACTTAGCAGTATGTCAACTTGTGTTTAATCAGGTACAGATTTTCCGTACAATGACTGTTTGGTTTTAATTTTAAGTTAAAATTATATTTCTTCTTATACTGTTCAAACGTCTCCAGGCGACTTGCTTATTTTCCAATAGCTTAAAACAGCTGGAAAAAAATCCAATCCTTTATTCCGCTAGACGGCAGTGTTAAGTTAACTATGCTAAAACAAAGCACTGATTCGCGTGTGACCGAATTTTGAATCCATTACCTTGGTATTTCTTCTCTACTAACAATTCATTTTGTACTAATGTAAAAGCCCGTCAAAAATGACGGGAAACCATTGTTGAATGATTAATGAAAATTATTAAATTGAACTAAATCGAATTTGTCTGTACCTCCAAAATGCACCTACGCTTCACTTACTTCCTCAGACTCGAAGTAATTCTTTAATCAACACATTTTAGTAAAAACTACGCAGAAAAATGAAATGTTATCGTGAACAAAAGTACGTGTGCACTCGAAAGAGACTTAAATAGCACTCTTGAGCCTTTTCACTATATTCTAGGTCAGAAATTAGAAAATATAGTGCAGATATTCCGACACAAATTTTCAACTCTTTCGACTGTATAAAGGGTAAAAAATATTTGATAGTAATAAACGTTTATTTTGCTTTATGTTTTAAGTCCAAGTGGGTAATATATGTATTAAAATACAAATGAATATTCATTAACTAGCTGGAGTACCCATTACCTGGATGGAAGTTATGTAAATTCATGAAAGGTTATCTTAGGACATGAAAAGTTGCTTCCCCTTATATGTAACTGTAAAAAACGCCCATAAAATTTGCTAAACACAAAATGTGAAACCGCAACTTTGTTTGTATCTCTGCATAGACTCAATGAACCTCCATACCAAATTTGGTGAAGATCTATCTACAAGAGATGAGTTAGTGGTAAAAAACGCAAAAACGGTCGCTCTCGGTTATATATCACAATGGAGTTATTTATATTCAGATTTTTTAAAGAAACTTTAGTTATACATTTTTGGAATAATTGTATTTATGTATTTCCTGAAGAAAAAAAAAAAAAGAGACAAATTTACCCTGTATAGGGAGGAAACTAAACACCTGCCCCTGCTCTAAAATTCACAAACTGCAGCGAGAAAACGTGTACAACAATGTTGGGAAATGAATCCATTGATAAAAACTATCTTTATATTTTGCCATCCTAATTGGTTACTTCTTTTCCTATCTGATAAAGCCTGTCGTGATTATTGGTTGCAGCAGTACACAGAACCTTTAATTTCTATTAACTGACACAATGGTTCTCCCACTTTTTTTTTATGGTCCGGGAACCCCTTTCGTGAGGCTAAACACTAAACTTTTCAAGACCTCTGCATATTTCGTGTATCTAAAAATCAACACAGAATAAGTGAAATTCTAGCAATAAATACTAGTATAATAATACAATTCTAAACATATATTTTAATACTATTCCATAAGTTTAAAACAGTCAAACCTGTAGAACACTACTACTAATAATAAAATGTGGGAGGATAATTAGTTCCCTGCATGTAGCACAACCGCACGCATGGAAAAATTTGAAAAAAGAGAGGAAGCAACGTTCTTTCAATATATTAGCATTTATCGAAATAAAACAGAACTTGAAAGAGATTTATTACATCTTCCAAACTCCTTCACATGACTCCAGGAAGGCTGTGACCCACATCTCGAGAACACTAAAACCAGAATAAACAATTAAACTACCAGTTTAATAAGATGTAGCTATTCATAAATGTCCAAATGTATAAAAATGTTTTTGCTGATCTTGTAAATAAATATGCTATTCGTTTTATATGTGATTCTTCCGTTTCTGATAAAATTTGGTGAAAGTTTTAGCGCCTGATTCAACTTGTGATAAATATTTCAAAGTTTGTCTAAAAACGCATCGAAATGTTTGATATCACGTAAAATTAATATTTTGAACATAAAAAGAGACACTTTATCGCAAAAGGCCTTTCATATATTCTTGTGCTTTACATTGTTTATTAATCTCGAGTTTATTTAATAGACTGAGACGGATTTAAAAGTGTACACGCCATGGAGTGAGTAAGATTAATCTCGAGTTTATTTAATAGAGTGTGACGGATTTAAAAATGTACACGCCATGGAGTGAGTAAGATTAATCTCGAGTTTATTTAATAGACTGAGACGGATTTAAAAGTGTACACGCCATGGAGTGAGTAAGATTAATCTCGAGTTTATTTAATAGACTGAGACGGATTTAAAAGTGTACACGCCATGGAGTGAGTAAGATTAATCTCGAGTTTATTTAATAGACTGAGACGGATTTAAAAGTGTACACACCATGGAGTGAGTAAAATTTATCTCGAGTTTATTTAATAGACTGAGACGGATTTAAAATTGTAAACACCATGGAGTGAGTAAAATTAATCTCGAGTTTATTTAATAGACTGAGACGGATTTAAAAGTGTACACACCATGGAGTGAGTAAAATTAATTTCGAGTTTATTTAATAGACAGATTTAAAAGTGTACACACCATGGAGTGAGTAAACAGCTTGTAAAATTTTGTATAATGTCTTCTTAGTACACCTTGTCGATATTCCTCTTCTTGAAAATTAATATACTGAATACAATTAATGTTCAGTAAAAGATACATTTGTGTACAGTACCCCAATATTGAAATAAATTGTTTAGTAGTTTATCAA